AAAAACAATATGGATCTAATAACAACAACCAAGAATCCGTCTAAGGACATGATTTTACAACCATTACTCTGAGTTTCACATCACCTGCAATGTTCAGGTGATTATGATCAAAGAGAAGAACTACTAAAAGCTTCTTCAAAGAAATACAAATTGAAAGAAGAAGAAAAAACCTGTGAAAATTGTCACCTACATAAGAGTAAAAAGTAAATAAGTAAAGAAAAATCCCCATGGACAGATCAACCAGGACAAGGCAATTGTATTCTAATGAAGTGGGGAGAGTGGTGAAACATGATGATACTTATAGACAAATGTCTGTAGAGGGAATTATGGTTGTTATGATTCCATTTTCATTTGGTTGCCAATTTCAGGTTTTTTTATTTTTCAATTCTATAGGCATTAAGAGGCCTTGGTTATTTTTTTTTTGTTAAGGGAGGGGTCTTGATTTTAATTTTCGTTAAGGGAGGGGTCTTGATTTTAATTTTCGTTAAGGGAGAGGTCTGTACTGCGGATCGATAGTTTTTTATAAACATAAAACATTAGGCAGCATATAATTTACATACAAAATACATAAAAAATTCCTATATAAAAAAAAACTACTACTAAGACATTACACTATATTATTGAACTATATACTTAGTTCATGACATAAAAACTGAATACACTTGTAAAAATAGAATACGTGGATTTAACACATCACAAGAAATATTTAAATAAAATTCTCACTTAAAATTTTGAAAAACTTAGCGTTGCATCCTTGCACGTTCCGAGATCTTACACAACCATCAATAATAGCAGATATTCAAAAAACATCTTTTCGGTCGACATACAAGTAATTCGTCTCCAAGTTTTTGATTTTATAAGGAAAAAAACACATGCCTGATGATGAATAGAGGACTATTCGTAAGCACTAGCATTTTAACATCAAATAAACTGAAAACTATAGACATCAAGTTTATCGACAAGGATCACTTCGCACTATGGATTAACAGTATTTTAATGCATATATTATGTTTCTAGCGATGGATGTCGCCAATAATCGCATTAATACTTCTGATTGATTCTATGTGTGATTATTTCTTTATATATATATATATATATATATATATATATATATATATATATATATACATCAGTATTCATGTTTATTTACTTTAAAGTTATCCTAATGTGATTTTGTGATTTTTGCCTTCTTAAAAATCCTGATTTGTGTATATTTTAGAGTCGCAACTAAATTGCTTAAGATGAACAAATTGTGATGCTTTTTCATTATTTTGTCTTGATATATTTAAAATTAAAATAATCTAGTGAAATCCTTATTTTAATGTTTTTGTTTAAGTTTCATTGTTCAATTAAAAAATTTGTAGACTATCGAAAAAAACATTTTTAAGAGTCCATAGAATCTGAACTATTTTGAACAAAGGTAAAATGAAACCAAAATTAATTTGCATAGAAAATTACAAGATACCAACTTTCAGCTCCATATTTTCTTAAGTTTCAAATTATAAAGTGTCAAAATCAACCAAAACTATGATTCCAGTTTGATTCGAATCAATAGAAAAATGTTTTAACTTTAAAAGTTTGTCCATGATATTCACATGTACTGAAATATTATTAGGTGAAATTTCTTTAATATTGTGATTTTTGCCTTACTAATGATACTGATTGTGCATATTTTTCAGTATTCATAAAATTACTTATGAACAAATTGTGCATTTTCACTATTTTGACTTGATGTATTTAAAAATTAAGATAAAGCAGTAGAATCCTTTTTTTAATATCCTTGGGTAAGTTTCTTAGTTAAAACTTTTTAAAAGAACCCATAGCATCTAAACTATTTAGAGCAATGCTAAAATGAAACCAAAAATAGTTTATTTGCATAGAAAATTACAAGAGCACCAACTTTCAGCTTCATATTTTCTTAACTATCAAGTTTCATAAGGTGTCAAAATCAACAAAACTATGATTTTGGTATAAGTTGTTCTAGAAAAATGTTTTAACACCTGACAGAAGTTTGTCCACAAAACAAGACTTCTGTCATGATTTTCAGATATGTAAGAATATGTGGTAAAAATAGAAAAATTTGGTCTAGTTTCCTTGCTCATTTAAAAAATTTGTAGACCATCTGAAAAACTATTAAGAGTTCATAGAATCTAAACTATTTGGAACAAAGGTCAAATGAAGCCCAAAATAGTTTATTTGCATAGAAAATTATAAGAACAACAACTTTCATTTTCATATTTTCTTAAGTATCATATTTATAAAGGTGCCAAATATGATTTTGGCATAAGTTGTTCTAGAAAAATATGTTTTAACCTTAGGCAGAAGTTTATCCACAAAACAAGACTTCTGTCACATGATTTTTGGATATGTAAGAATATGTGGTAAAAATAGAAAAATTTTCTTAAACTGCCTAACTGGTCTGTTGATGTTGTGAAAATAGGTCAGTTTCAGCATGTTAAAAAATTGAATAATTTTCAAACAGTAATACTGACATTCCTATAACAAGAATGAATATGGTTCCTGCATAGAAATAATCTCTTGAGTCATAAAAGACAGGAAAACTAATTTGGATTCTGTATCTGACATACTTTGTAAATGAAAAACCTCTCAAATTGGATAGCATCTTTTTGCATTTTGGAATTTCAATCATTTTCAGGTCCTAATAACAATCTAAGTACATAAGACACCTAAGCTGTTTATATTTTTGCAATCTACCATAAATATTAAATAGTGCCATCAAGTTTCAAATCTATACACTCAATATGCTTGGAGCTACGAACGTCAGAAGTTTATTGAAATTCTTATTTAGCAAAACATAAAATGTGAAAATTCAGTGAAATTTCAAAACACTCTGATTTTAAAACAATTAAAAAGATACACAGTTCTAATATTTGGGATTTATCAATAAATTTGACCAAAGAAGATTTTTCTGAGATAGTCACTTGTGGCAGTTGATTGATTCTAGATGGAATGATCCACATATCTATATTACACACATCAAGTCAAGAATCAATTTCAAGGATTACTGTCAGTTCAAAGTTAATATGAATTTTGTTAAGAGACCAACTGGCTATTGATAAAAATTTAATGTTTTTTCAACCAATCAGATTCCATGAAAAAAAGCAAATAAAGTATCCTATCCAAGCTGAACCTCAAACTGCCTAAGAAAAAAGTAAAAGTTTAAAGGAAAAAAAAGAAAGAAAAAAGGAAAAAGTGCAATGCATCTCACCCCATCTTAGCAGTCCATAAAGCCAAACATTTGCATCCAAGAAGTTTGCAAGCTGAACTTTCACTCCTGGAAATTTAGAAATAATAATAAAAAAATTGTTTGATTTCAATAAAATATTATCTTCATTTAGGTTCAAAGATAACATTTATCATTAAAACCTTCAAAAAATCAATTATGTGTCTTATCAGAAGAGGAGAGGTGTGGCTAAAATAGGAAACTGGACCCAGGTGTGGGGTAGGAGGGGATTTCAGGGAGCAGCTGATACGGGGGAGACAGAAATAAGATGGATGAGTGGGTGGTGTGGGAGGAGGTAGAAACAGAAGTTTAGTTAAGTGGTGCCAAAGACAAAGCATTAGATGCATGTTGAAAGAATTAATGAAACAGAAGATTGAGCACAGAGAAGACAGAAAAGGAGGCAAAGACGAATTGAGAGATACAGTGGGAGGGGGAAGAGAGGGAGAGGGAGTTGAGAAGGAGATTAACAGGAAGGGGAAGAGAAGTAGAGAGGATGGAAGGAGATAAATAGAAAGAAACAGAGGGAGGATAGAGAGAGAGAGAGAGAGAGACAGAGAGAAACAGAAAGGGAGGAAAGAAAGAGAGAGAAACAGAAAGGGAGGAAAGAAAGAGAGAGAAACAGAAATGGAGGAATGAAAGAGAGAGAAACAGAGACGGAGGAATGAGAGAGCAAGACAGAGGAACGAGAGAGAGACAGAGGTGTAAGAAGGCAAGAGAGAAAAAACAGGAGGAGGAGGAAGGAAAGAGAGAAAGAAACAGAGGAGGAGGAGGAAGGAGAGAGAGAAAGAAACGGAGGAGGAGGAAGAAGAGAGAGAAAGAAACAGAGGAGGAGGAAGGAGAGAGAAAGAAACAGAGAAGGAGGAGGAAGGAGAGAGAAAGAAACAGAGAAGGAGGAGGAAGGAGAGAAAGAAACAGAGAAGGAGGAGGAAGGAGAGAAAAAACAGAGAAGGAGGAGGAAGGAGAGAGAAAGAAACAGAGAAAGAGGAGGAAGGAGAGAAAGAAAAGAGAAAAGAGAGAGAAAGAAACAGAGAAGGAGGAGGATGGAGAGAGAAAGAAACAGAGAAAGAGGAGGAAGGAGAGAAAGAAACAGAGAAAGAGGAGGAAGGAGAGAGAAAGAAACAGAGAAAGAGGAGGAAGGAGAGAGAAAGAAACAGAGAAAGAGGAGGAAGGAGAGAGAAAGAAACAGAGAAGGAGGAGGAAGGAGAGAGAAAGAAACAGAGAAAGAGGAGGAAGGAGAGAGAAAGAAACAGAGAAAGAGGAGGAAGGAGAGAGAAACAGAGAAGAAGGAGGAGGAAGAGAGAGAAAGAAACAGAGAAAGAGGAGGAAGGAGAGAAAGAAACAGAGAAAGAGGAGGAAGGGAGAGAAAGAAACAGAGAAAGAGGAAGGAGAGAGAAAGAAAACAGAGAAAGAGGAGGCAAAAGGAGAGAGAAAAGAAATAGAGAAAGAGGAGGACGGAGAGAGAAAGAAATAGAGAAAGAGGAGGAAGGAGAGAGAAAGAAACAGAGAAAGAGGAGGAAGGAGAGAGAAAGAAACAGAGAAAGAGGAGGAAGGAGAGAGAAAGAAACAGAGAAAGAGGAGGAAGGAGAGAGAAAGAAACAGAGAAAGAGGAGGAAGGAGAGAGAAAGAAACAGAGAGGAAGGTATTTATTATACAGAATTTATCACCAGGAATTTATAGCTGCTTCATCATCACAAGTGCTGATATATATTTCTTAAATATTTAATCCCAAGATTAACAGAAAGCAAGCAAATACAATTTACCTTGCAATTGTAGTGAACAGTTGGTCTAAAATGGCATAAAGAAACATGGAATTATGTGGAACTGTTTGGGTGGGCTGGACAAGTTCTGTTGGGGATGCTAATGCCAAAACAGCAAAAATCAGAGAGAGGGAAGAGGAGGCAGGCAGATTGGCAAGCAACAACCCAGAGTGGGTTGTCTCTTTGAACCAGAGTGGAAACCGACAATTTGCCTTATCAAGTGCCACTTGCTGAAACAAGGGTGACAACTGCAAAGAGAAAAAGAACATTAAAATCAGAAATTTAAGTCAGAGGATATTTGCTTTTCAAGTCTTATATACTTGCAAGAATGGAATAAAATAAATTTTAACGACAAAAAAAAAAAAAAAAAAAGAACTTTTGTTCGTAAATAAAATGATACTCTTTACATTTAATGGCAATACAAGCTCATCTCATTAATTAATTCTTCTGTTAATTTGTGCATTTGCTAATTTGTTTTTTTGATGTCAGTTGTGCTCATTTCCCCTAAATTCTACTGCCTGACCCACAGATTGAACTCACAACAGGTGGTACAACTTAAAATTTAGCACACTGGAGATGAAAATTGCTGTAGACTTCTCTCTTTTTAAACACTCTAGGGTCACTATAAATAAACATTTGTCAGCAGCTATTTTTTAGAAACTTTGTCAATTCTGTTTGTTACACTTAACTATGACCAATTCCTCCACAAGGTTTTTATCTCTACTTCCAAAAATGTCATCATAATCATCAGGTTGAGCAAGTTTGGTATTCCATGACACATTACTTCCATCCCTTTCTATTGTTCATTGCATTTGGAAGTTCGTCCAGTCTGCAACCTGTGTCTTCAATCAGATGGTCAATGTACATCATCTTTGGTCGACCTTGTGTTCTTTTTCCATGGAATGGTATCCAGAGTAGAATGTCTCCAGCTAGTTCTTTACTACAACAACAGTGACCAGCAAATCTTAGTCTTTGTTGGTGTATTAATTTGCTGATGGGAGGTATGTTGCCATAGAGCTCTTTCTTTCTTTGGTAATCTTTCCAGTATTTGTTTAGTGCTGCTGGAAGCATTCGTGTGTGAGCACCATCTAACCTCTTTTCCAGTTTGGCTGTTAGTGTCCAGGTTAAGGAGCCATAGACAAGGATGGACCCTACTGTAGCTCTGAAAAAAATTTCTCTTTAGTTTGTCCGGAAGATTCAAATTTCCAAATTTTGTTCATTTCATTAAGCGCTCCCCACGCCTTTTTCCAGTCTGATGTTGACATCATTCTCAGTGGAGGCAAAAATGTAAACAAATTAATAATATATATGACCCAATTAGAAATCTGTGACTTGTTTCCAAGATTAGAACAGAGGAACTGTCGTTCTGCACAACCCTTTTTATTTATATTACTTTTTTAAGTTTTTGAATATGGTGACATTTCAACTTACCAACAAGGAAAAGTCATCTTTGTTCCATAACTGCAACAAGATTACCAAAACCATAGAACCATTAGTTTGGCAATCAACCAAAATTCTTTCTGTAGAAAGTGGAAGGAAGATGAAAAAGGAAAAAAAAAAAGAAAAATAGATCAAGGGTGTAATAAAGTAGTTCAGCAAATAGGAAAAAAGTGGCGGAAAAAAGAGAAAAAAAGGTGGGTGGAGAGAGAGAGAAAAATTAATCACCTTCTTGAACAAGTTGGCAGGCCAATTGTGTGATGTCTTCCAATAACAAAAGTGTTTCTTCATCTTTGGAATGCACAATGTCAGTGAAGAGGTCAGAGAACTTCTGCAACATTTTATTGATGGCTTTACAGGCAGCCAAGCAATGATGCATTGCCTCATTGCACTGGACAACAGGCAGATTCAAAAACCTGAAAAGGAATTTGAAACAGAAAAGGGAAAGCTAATACTTTCAACAGCTCCTGCACTGTAACCTTGTACGCTCAGCAACCACACTTACAAATAACCCATAGCATAATGGTAAGCCTGTTTAGCAAACCAAGAATGCCTCCTTTTACTATGGCCTTGTGCCAGGACAAAAGAGGATTTTGTTTTTGAGCAATGATCAGAAAACAAATCTTAAAGACTCACAGCTGTAATGAGTTTGATCCTTGGATTGCCACAACACTGCAGCCTTTTGTCAGACTTAGCTAAGGGTACTTCAAAGCATAGAGAAGTGCTTCTAACCTTTTCCAGCCCATGGACCATTTTTTTCTTCAAATGAATTCAAATGGACCACTCCTACTTTTACTTTTAGGCAGTTCAATTTTCACACTAAAATACTCAATGACAAATAGTAGTAGTCTATTTACACTTTAAAATTTATTTTAGTAAACAAAGATAAACACAGGATATCAAAATCAATTTTGATGATGTCATTCAGTCTTAGTCGATTTAGCTAGTTACTACCTTGATCTTGGTGTTTCTGACACAAGATATCATAATCAATTTTGATGATGTCATTCAGTCTTAGTCCATTCAGCTAGTGACTACCTTGTAAGTGGGTGAACATAAGACTCTTCGTTTTTTCTTCTGTAAGCGTTCTGGGATTGCAAAGGAAATATTTATCACAGATTACTTCCACAATGCAGAGAACAAATCACTGTAAGTTCAGACTCGAAAGAAAGAAATGCCAAAATCTCGATTTGCAAGTATTATCTTACAAATCACAATGCACGTAACCAGTCAGAAAAATAACTCTCTGATAAACGTGGTAGCCAAAATATGCGAATTTTATTCCTCCTGCTCAATCCGAGAACACCAACTGCTTTTATCAGGCAAGCATTTTTTCTATTCATTGATAACTGGGAGAGGATGCACAATTTTTGCATATCAAAATACCTTTATAGTGACTCCTGTGACTGACTTGTTTCTAGTTTAAATATTCTGTCTTCAGCATGTCATGCGGAATATGTGCCCTTTTTTGGTAAGTAATTTTCTTTTTCGCCACATTTTCCATTGTAGGATACACGCGACACGCTGTTGCTTGGTTTGATGAGGTAATTCGCCGTTTTCTTTGCTATATCTTCTTACTTCTGTTGAGCGACTGCTACTGACATGACAGGTTGGATAGATGCTTCCTCTCTCTGCCACTCCAACCAGGACTCCAACTACATAAGGCTGTAAGTGGAAATTTCAACTTCCACTTTATTGTCGCTTGTTCCCAATAGTCTTCATTTATTTATCTACTATATTATTCTCTTTTGGTCAAGTGGGTGGCTGCTTTTGAAGATCCAATTTCATGGACATTACTACTGGCCATAAAACACCAGAAGTTTTGAACTCAGATAAAGTCATTTAGGTCCCACTTGACTGTGTGTGTTCAGATGGTCAGGTGAAGGACCTATTGTGCCACAACTACTGTAGAAATTTTGATCATCCCCGACTGCACCATTTGTGGCCTTGTTCCAAACTAAATCTTCATATTTATGTGTGTTGACTTGAGTGCAATAGTTGGCATCTCTTATAGACCAATTTGCAAATGCCAGAGTTCAGGTCACATTGGGTGCACCACTATTGTTGTTTTAAGACAAACTAAATTAAACTTAAGAAATGACGCAATTGTGTATTGTCTGATATTCTTTTATTTGGAAACAAATTAGAAAAGATTATTTGTGTCATCGTCCTTTAGAACTTCATTAGACAAAAGTGACGTTTATGTAATTACATATGCACGTGAAGGAGAGGGGGATGCTGAAATTTTAAACTTATTTTTTGTTTGGGTTTATTGCAATCCGATCTCTTTAATCCAGCAAATCCAATTTTAAAATCAGTCACCATTAGTTCATTGACCAGCTATGAGGGAAATGCCACATGCTGTTTACACCTTTCCACAGCAGACGATAGCAGCAGCAGAATGCTCCGATGATATATTATTGGTGTATATCATTTCTTGGTTTTAGGCTATTTTAGCCTTCATATTGCATGAAATAAAAAAACCTTGTTTGAAAGCATTAATGATTACTTTATTTCCTGTTTACAACTTTCCACAGAAGCCAACAGCAGCAGAGTATTTTGGTGATACAATTGTAGTGATAGCAACAAATAAATCCCTAAATAAACTGTAACCTTTAATACTAGACTATGTTAGCATATGAAACCAAAATAATAAACAAAAAATTAAAATTTAAGTAATAAAATATGGATAAGAATGCTAATGAAAAAAAAAGGTTAGATCATAAATTTTTTTTAAATATTGAAAACTCCCATGATGCACCAGAACAGACATTTTGCTGCCAATTGAAACAAAAATATAATTCTCTCTCATTTTTGATGGCATAATGAAGCAGATGTCTTGGGACAGCTCTCTGACATGTCTACCAGATAGGCACAAACTTTATCTCTGTATACATAGATGCTCTATAAAATATACAATATTTTTTCTGAAATGTATACAAAAGCCTTTTATCATTTTTGCTTATGCTTATTGTGTTGTCTTTCTACTAGACTGGTTACCAACCATGACTAAAGAGCCCAGTCTGTCCTATTGTTTAACCCATAGATGGGGGAGAGGAGATGCATTAAAGTATATTAAGTGGGGTTTTATGGGATAGAGTAACTAGCCTCCAGCCCAACTTGTATTGAATTTGCATTTATCCTTCTCCTAGACTGGTTGCCAAACCAGGGCTGAAGAGTTTATTCTGCTCTATTTGTTAACCCATATGTGTTGTCTGATATATGAAATGTTGACAAATTATTAATATCTTTTTTGTTGTTTTGATTACTATCAATTTTTAGCCTTTTGCTATGTAAGATCTAATCTGCAGTGAATGCTGAATGATTTCCTCAGACATGAAGTGGAACGATTACTTGGAATCCCTTACTGGGTCTGCTGCTAGGAAAGTCAATTCACTGTGTTGTGCTAGACAATTTTTCTTGATAGAATCTATTTTACACATTTATAAGTCTACCATTTGTCCATTCATTGAATATTGCTTTCACATTTTGTCTGGTGCTTCTGCTATATATCAAGAGATTCTCAACAAAATCCAAAAAAGAATCTGCAATGCTATCGATCCTGACCTGGCATCTCTGTAATTTAGCTTTCCTGTGCCTTTTCTATAAATATTTTTGTGGTAATTGTTCTGATGAACTTTTCTCTTTGGTACCTTGACTTTATGAATTAAACCAAGTACTAGATTGGCAGCTAGGTTTCATCGCTTTACAGTTGATACTGATAGATGCAACTGTAAATTCTATGTTTACAGTTTTTCTCTTGCACTTTTCGCTTGTGGAACTCTGACTTCTTGATCTTCAAAAAATAAAATGCAATGTCAATTGTCATCATCAATCTCCTTGAATCCTGCTCATTTATTGTTCTCTCTCCTTAATAACGTATTTCTTTTTCTCATATTTTCTCACACTTGGTAACTCCTTGTGTCTTAGTGACTTTATTGCCATGATTAAGAACATGTGAGCAATGAGGAAGTCTTTTAGAAAATAGAAACTACAAAGAAACATATCCATAATCAGAAAGAGATGAAATTTCTGAGGCAGTAATGAGAAAAGAGAACCAAGAGAATATAACACTCACAGGACATGATGAAAGCAAGAGAAGCAGGAGGGAGCCATAAATAACTTTCATAATAAGTTTATGTGATTGGATGGCAGAACAGGAACAAAGGGCGGGGGGGGCTGGTAAAACCTTAAAAGGTAGCAACAAAGGAAGTTGTGGAGAGCTATAATAACTCATACCTTGAAAGGAGATGGCACATAAAATGAGTGAATGTTAACATAGAAATGCATTACAAATGAGTTTTTACGACAGAAATTGGGTTTATTAAATTTAAATTGTAATTTTGTATATTTATTATTTTTATTTCAAACAATTTTTTGCTTTGCTTTTCAAGTTTCTGCTGGATTTAAATGATTCAAATAGATTTTAAAAAAAAAAGTAAATTTGGTAATTTCTTTTTTTTTTTTTGACACAGCACAATTTAACTCCATTGAATAAAGCCATTTTGTTTGGAAGCTTAAAACAAAATTATATTTACCTGAAAGTTTTCAAAAACTCTTGGAGGCTTTTTGACAAGAAATAAAGTCCTAGAAAAAAAAAAAAATCACAGAAAATTATTTCTTTTACAAAGAATTTTAACTGTTTTACAAGAATTTTATGAAGCTCTAAAACAGGGCATGGTAACCTTTTGGAGAGAGTGGGCCAGAAAGCTATGCAGTGCCTCAGACAAGGGCCATGATATCAACTATACTATAATATATTGTCTCAACTTCAGAACAATCTATCCAGAGGGCTGCCTCGTTCTTTTTAGAAAAAAACAACAACATTAATGTTATATTATTTAAACAAAGTTCCTTATTTTACTGCAGGAATAACAGGATAGCAACTAGCACAATCAACAAAATACATGAGAAATGGCAAATCATTTAATGAGACATTTGTTTCTGCTTATTGTTCGATAACTTTTCCACATCAGGTGAAATATTTGTCAATGATAGGAACAAAACATCATCCAGGTGACCATCACCCAACTTTGTTCTTAACCAACTTCTGGCATATTTAATTTTCAAAAAAGTTGTTCACAAGCATTTGTACTTCCAAATAATGATACCATCATTCTTGCATTATTCAATAGGCTTTTTTTATTTTCTGCTTGGCAAAATAGATTTCTTGTCAGCAGTGGATTCAGAATGAAATTTTGATTTAAAAAATTTGTTGCATTGTATGTTGATTAACTCCAAATGATATTTTTCTGCTTCTTGCTCCACAAATGAATGAGATAATTAGTGTCCAGATGTTAAGTTGGCAACCCGGAGCCAAATTCAAATCCAGGACCTTCTCACTCCTGTTGAGGGAGCTGCTCTTTGAATGATCATGTCTTCAGAGGTGTAGCCATACTAAACACGCTTGGCCAACCGTGGGTTAGAATGGCTTTATAACCAGAAGATGTGGGCAATAGTCCAAGGTTTTGAATTCAGAGTTGGTCTTCTCTTAGACTGATTGCCACCCAAGGCTATAAGACACACACTGTCCTGCTATTTACCCATAGCAGCAGGGAGAAGAGATAGATTCATACCTTACACCAAGCTATTGGTGAAATAGCAAAACAGACTTTTCTCCTTAGTTTGGGGACGGGGGAAGGTAAATAAATCTAAGAGAAAAACGACTTGGAGTGCAAAACTGTGGAGAAGGCAACAGTAAACTATTTGACTAAGAATTTCCTAAGAATCCATGACAATTTATAAATGATAAAGGAAAGGAATCTGTAGAGACCTATGATTGCCTACATTCTGAAAGAACATGGCATTAACAAAAAATAGACTGTACTGTGATTTGATTGACCTTGTCATAGGTCACTTATCAAAAAAAAATGAAAACAAATAATAACTGGCAAGGCAAATCTGTTCATATCTATTTCAACGTTATATATATATATATATATATATATAGATAGATAGATGCTCCTGAAAAATTATTTCAGGTTGAGCTCTCTGGGGAGAAAGTATGAGTTTGTAAACAGTGACTATTACTGCTACGAATGCAATACTCTTCGATAAAACATGTTCTCTCAGTCACTGGCATGTTTATCTAAAAATAAATATGCTTAAATTCACCTTTATCCCAGCCGTGCATCAACAGCTTAGTAACAGATTCTCTGATTGATGCCAATTCAGCTGGGTTTTGATCCTAGCTGGAGTCAACCAAATGTCTAGCCACACTGATGAGCTGTGATATAGCAAAACAGTCTGTCTGTGGATGACTATATATTATATAAAAATCAATTTTAAGGAATATACATAACAAAGTGGTAAAAGTTTTTGTGATATGTTTCGTTCTTTAGAACTTCATTGGACTAAGATTATATTTAAATTGATGTAGTCACATGTGCACGAATGAACGATGCTTGGAATTTTAAATTTAAAGATGATTTTTTTTTATGTATGTGTTTTGGGAGATAAAATGCAGTTGATTTCATTTGGACTCTTTTTCTTTTTGTTTATGTTTCTATCACTTTTGTTATTAAATATCCCACATTATGATAAAAAATCTGCCAAAAATGGTGAACCATTGTAGGAACTTGGATGCAAATTGACCGTGGATGATCTAGCAATTAAAGCACTTTCTATACATTTTCATCTTAGTGAATTGTTTCCTGTGTGTTCATATAATCTTTTATCTAAATTCCTTGAGGTTTCTCCAATGTATCCGTTATGGCAATTATAACAGGTGTTATGGCCAATTATAGCAGCACAAAGTTTAAAAAGAAAAGATAAAAAAAACCCAAAAAAACAACAACTTGTTGTCTATAAGATGCCCAGTTTTATCATTCCATAGTGGAAGGATTCAGTGCAGGCACAAATTCATGATTTTGGAACGATACCAACAGTGACTAATGACAAACGCTAATATACAAATTAACAAGATTTAATTACAACTAGACAATGCATAAAAAACATTTAAATATAAGAATGCGTGGAAATATGTGTGCTATACATTTCTGTGTAGAAAGGTGCGTGTGTTATTTTATAAAGGAAAAAGTTGAAAGAAAAACTTAGCTTCAGTTTTTCTTCTTAAATAAAATAAGGTTTTCTCTTTTCTCTTATGATTCTATTTGTCCCTTTTCAATTTCAAACCAGTTTGTTCACTCAAGTAGCAATGTCCTTTGGTCTATTCTTCTTACTTTAAAGTTGCATTCATTATCTGATCATTGGGCACTGCAGAAATTGGACATTTGCTTATGAAGATTCGATGCTGTGTAAGTTTAGCTGTGCAGAATTCATGTTTCGGATCCTTCATCCAATTAAGTATATCACATATTCATTTCTTAGGTGACAATCACATTTTGCCATCCACCTATGCCTTTAATGTAAGCTGCATAGTGTTAAGTTAAATTGGAGTTCATCTCTTGCTGTGTGATCTCTCTTGCTTGACTGAAACACGTGAAAGAAGATTTGTCTGTGCAAGACATGTCTCCGTTTAATTCTGTGTTGGAGTTTCATGTGATTTGGAGTCATTATTCTTCCTCTTCAATTCAGAAAGTCAATTCACATGAGAATTTAATATACACTCCGTTTCCTTTGAGATTCATTACCTAACCGAGTTCTGTCGATCTTTCTCACTTGATTATTCGCATCTGGTCATGTGACTTGCCAGGTGTATGAGAATCTATTTTTAGCTTTGGCTTCTATCTGTTACTGTGGTCATCAGTCTAACCTAATTGTCATTGTGTTCAGTGACTGCTATTACATACAAAAAGAGAAAGGGAGAAGAGTCTGCTATAACATATGTAACAGAGTAAATTCTTCCTTCAAGTTTTAGCATATTGTTTTATCTTTTATTGTTTTAGATGTAATTGAGACAAGTTTTATGTTGATTTTAAATAAATTCTTTTCAATTGTAGTTGTGAGTTAGCAGGTAGAGCAATATATTTTTTTGATTTGTTTCTCAAGATGGGCCGTCTTTCTATTTGGGAATATTTTATGAGCCTTTTGTTTTGCCCTGAATATGAAATAGGGCACTGGAAGAGCTTCAAAGTATTTTCGATGTATTTCACCTCTTAATACAGGTATACCTGACCCTATATCATTAATTGGTTCTAGAGGTCATAAAAAAATGATTTAAGTTGAAATAACCACACTATAAACTGCAAATAAGCAATGGGAAGTGCCTTATAGTCTTACGCTTAGCATGAGCACTTGCACTGGGACTTTTCTTTGGAGCCATGGACAAAAATGTATTCTAAATCAATGTAAACAGGACTGAATTCAAAATCAGTTTTGGAGCGAAAAAAAAAACACACAAGTGCCACTTGTCAACAGGAATTTGAAATAAGAATATCTGCTGAACATACTTCATTATGCTAATTTTTTTTGTTTTTGATGATTTTATTATATATATTATATATGTTTTTTTTAAATTTATTTATTTAAATATGATTTTATATGTGTTTATAGATATTCTAGTGTTTTGATGTTTCTAATATTTTTAATGGCTGACGTAAACTCGAGTAAAACAACCGAAGACAAGTTTTATTTTTCATATAATACTTAAAAAAAAAAAACCCTGACGTATCTTCGAAAATGACTTAACTCAAAGTGATTTAAGTCAAGGTATCACTGAAAAGAAGTCTGCAAATTCTTAGTGCTCTTAGTCTTAAGTAGAATCTGATGATTATTCCAGATTTTATATTGATGATGCTCTATTAATATATCCGTGTAATACGGATTTACCTGACCTTGTAGATAAACTAAACAAAGTCGAACATATAATAGAATTTACATACAAAATGGAAAAAAACAATACTTTATTTTTCATAGATATCATGCTACACTGCATTGATAACAGCTTAAGACTTAGTGTCCAATGAAAATCAACTAATAAAAAGGATCTAATAAACCTCTATTCCAATCATAAAATAAAATCTGGTATAATCATTGTATTCTACTTAAGAGCACTTAGAATTTGCAGCCTATAATATTTACATGATCCACTTTGTCATATATACACCTTAAGCATAATTGCATGTATTCATAAGTACCATTGCATATATGAATAGGTATTTTCAGAAAACTGAGTACTTGCTATAGAGGGAAAGTTTTTCAAATAAGATCAAAGATTAATGACATACTCCACCATTTCTAGTATTTGCAATGAAGATATAATATATGTAAAAAAAATAAAAAAATAGCTCACCTGGAACAGCGAATGTTTTCAAACATTTTTCACCTGTAAAAATGAAATGGTTCAAAAATAAATTAAAACAGTTAAATATGGAATGGAAAAGTAAAATCGTATTTAATCAATGAGTAATTAATTAAGGTTTGAGAATTTCAGTTTGTATAACAACCACCCTGGTCAAAGGTTGACTGAAAAACTAATTTACTAACATCACAATACTTATAAGAAAAATATAGGCTCCACAAATATAAAAGTTAGATTTTACTAAACTCATAAGGTCATTGGTTGATAAATATTTTTAAATATTCATTTTTAAGGAGGTTAAATATTCTTGATCATTTTTCTTGGGGAAGCCTTGGAATTGTATTGTACAGCCAATGACAAAATTATTTGTGCACCCATCAATTCTGAATATTTTTATTCATTTCTCAGAATCTAATGCTTGTATGATGCCAGTTTTTTTTTATACTAATAATCACAAAAATGGAATATAAAACTCCATTTTCAGAAAAATGCATTAAATACAACAAATCTGACAGGCGAATTATGCAAAATAGGAAAAGACAAAATTATTTGTACAGTAGAAAATATTGTTTTAAATTGATTGATTGATTCGTACATTATTTACATTATTTGGACTATTGTCCTCATCTTTGTCGCCATATTTATCACAAGTTTCAGCCATTGTACACTCTGGCCTTCTTCAGGTGGTTGGAATGTCGAACTGAACCCTTTATTTCGCTCACTGAGGTAGACTGTTCTAGTTCCACGTTTAATGGATGTCAGTTATCAGTTATCTCCTGTTAATTTTCCCTCTGAAAGTTCTCCATTGCCTTAGCTGGGTATTGAACTCACACTCTTTGGGTTATGTCACTGGATCTAACCAATGCCTTTATCCACTGTGCCATATGTTCCAACCACCTGAAGAAGGCCAGAGCGTACAATGGCCGAAACGTTGTGATGAATATGGCGACAAAGATGAGGACAATAGTCCGAATAATGTAAATAATGTACATAATACCTCATCTCAGCAATATAGACAGATATTGATTGATTCGTGTAAGTAATTTATATAATTATTTTATTAGCGAAGCCTTCTAGACTATTGCTAACATCCTGAAGGTACACAGCACGGTAGATTTTATAAGCAAGATGTTCTGAGAAAAAAAAAAAAAAAGATGCTCCGGATAGTTCATTAAAGAATTGATTATATTAAAAACAAAAACTCACCCAATGGAAAATTTTCAAGCAGGCTTAACAAAGCATCCACCACAGCCCTCAAGTGTCTGTGTACATTTTCATTCTGTGGACATTTTTGCCAAGAAAGCAAATGACCAATATCAGCATTCAGGTAAGAAGCCACACATTTCTGATCCTCTTCTGGGAAATTCTGGAACAAGCTGAAAATAAATATGAATGTTTAGATTTAGAAAATAGATATAAATGTTTAAATTTTGAAGCTTTGATTGAAACAATGGTTTTAAGTAGAGAAATAGTTGGGAGAAATCTTAGAAGAAATTCCACTCTCTTCTCATAGAATGGTAATATAAAAGAAAAAAAAAAAATGAAGTTTACTTTTTAACTAAAGTCTTGTTAAAAAGGATATTGTTTTTCATATCTCCAAAATCACTAAGGAAAAAAAAAAAAAAAAAAAATGTAAATTGGTGATATGCAAAAGAATTGTGTACTTTGCAAACATTAAATGCTCCCATGAGAATATACTGAGTTATCTCCTCTAGATTGGATTACTATTTAGATTGTGCAAATTATATATATATATATATGCAGGTAAGACAAAAACAAAAAGAGTACAATTCCACCATTCATAACATTTAATTTAAAGGAGGGTTTAATACATAGTATAGCAATATTATTTATTTTAGGATATTACATTGAAAACATGTCAAAATCGCTACACAATTGCAGTCATGTTTCAGTGCATATCAATGCATCTCATCAGGCGATTGTAAATTATTGACGAACCACTGATTTACAGGTTGACAATTGTCCTCATCTTTGTTGTTGCTATTACAACATTTTGGCTGTTGTCCCCCACCCAATCCATTCAACATGTCTAAGTCAACTCTGAACTAAACCCTTTATTTACTGTTCTCATTCTGCTGTCATATCTAGGGATATCACATCTAGTTCTTACTTTTTTAGTACTGCTCAGTTAGTACTCACTCAGTTTTCACATAGCCTGGCCCAGAGATTGAACTCACAATCACTAATCAAAATAGTCACAATATATACAGGGTGCGATGGATAAATTGTCGCATAAATTATGCAAAAATGAAAACAACATTGACATCTCATTTTAACAGATATATTTACCAAAATTACACAAAAACATCTTGACATACTAATGAGTAAATATATTCAATAAAATTGCCATTGGCATCAACTACGGCCTCCAAACGACTTCAGAATCTCCTGCAACTCTTCTGGATGGTCTCATTGTTTAAGTTGGAGACTGCTGCCATAATCCTTGCCTTCAGTGTTACAAGGAGTTTTGTTGGTCTTTTGCTCACCTGTACCCCACACATCATAATCAAGGGAGTTGCAGTCTGGGGAGTTAGGTAGCAAGATGTAAGGGGTGATGTGGCCGCAGAAATTGTCCGACAGCCATGACTGGGTTCTCCTGCTTGTGTGGCATGGTGCAGAGTCCTGTTGCTAGAGATAGGGTCTTCCAGCAACCATCCTCTTGACCCAGGGCAGCACTACCTCCTCAAGGTATTTGATGTAGGCCTATGTGTAGAGTCTGAGGCCCTCTGGGAAGAGGAATTGAGACATAATGTCACCATCACTAGTGATCTCTCCAAACACCTCTGTAATCATCATTAGAGTCATCCAATACTTTCTGAATCATCTGCATTGTCCTCAGATTGACATCCAAACATCTGTAATTGTATTGGAGCTGCCAGTATGAATGCCAAGCAGTACAGAATACTGTTCCCAAATTTGTGGCAGAGTGAATTGCGCCATGGTGTTCTTTTTCTCACAGGCAGTGCCCAACTAACCTTACAATACTGTGCAGTTGACAAAAATCAAAAACAAATACATGTACGAAGTTAAAAATATAAAATGGTGACAATTTACCCATCACACTCTGCAGAAAACAAAAAAATAGGTGTCAGTTTAAACTGACACCAAGAGGATATATGGATTAAAGTAGTCAGTTAAATGCCTAAAAGAAATGACACAGTATATGTAAGCGAATCAAGAGAGGAAAAGACAATATGAAAGTAAAAAATGGTTGAAAAAAAAAAAAGAAAAGAAAAAAAAGAAAAAAAGAAGATGTTGTGTGGTTACCTTCTTAAAATACTTTTAAGGGGATGTCGACTCGGATAACGTAGATAAAGTCCAGTAAGGATTTTAATACAAGTGCATGTAGCAGGAGACTGAAAATTGCAATTTTGTCTCAATGCAACAACAATCTAAAAGAAAAAAAAAAATGAAAAGAAAAAGTCTCATATTTTGAATAGCAAGTAGAAATAGGCTTTTAACAATTATATTATGGACTACTTTGGTTGGATTGATTAAATAAATACATTTAAAAAAAAAAAAAAAAAAAAAGAAGAAAAAGGCAAACTTTTATTTGTTCTTAAAGAAAAGTCACAAAAATTCCAATGGATAATAGGGACATACAAGAGGCATGGTGTGTGTGTGTGGGGGGTAACGATAGGTTAAGGACACAGAGAGCAGAGTTTGAATTCCAGTTGAGTTCATTACATACACTTACATACATACTATGGGAAAGTTATGAATCTATCACTTCTGCCCAACCTCCCCAGTAATGGTTTAAATAGCTAGACAAACTGGTTCTACATTGTAGAAGGACAACTCTGAATTCAAAACCTCCAAATATGGCTTAAATAGTATTACCAATCCTCAATTGGCCAAGCGTGGTGAGTACAACTACATTTCTGAGGACATGGTCAATCAGGAAGGGTTCTTCCAATAGGAGTGAGTAGGATTTGGATTAGGGAAAATTGAAACAACAATTTGTGATGTAAAAACTGCACCAACAACATCTGAATTTGGCAGAATTTATTATTAACAAACAAAATATTTCTGGTAAGAAGGAAAAGATATGATTAAAAGATTTTGCAATTTTGAAAATTAAGTTTTGATACTTAATCAATATATTTCACATCAAAAATTAAAAAGAAAACTGTTAAGAACCAATTATAGGCTCTTTCCTGTCGAATAAAGGGTGTGTGATAACAAAAAACAAAGAAAATGGAGATGTATTTAAATTTCCAAAAATCAAATAGTGTGGGGATTTTATTTATAGACAGATGGTTACTATGCCGTCCGAAATAAGCATGAAGATAGATGGATGTGTTGAGATAATAATAATTTCTAAAGATAACAGAAAATACACAATCAAGATTTACAAACTTTTATTTTTTATGACATGTATTGTTTAATAAACGTACGGTAGTGCAAATAAACTGCACGAGAGGTCTCTTTTCAAAATTTTACAGGTGTATCCCTTCCCATTTTACTGAAGAAACAATTGTTATGGAGAATATTTTCACAACAGGGGAGGTTACTGAGGTTAAAACAAGGGAGGTAACCGAAATTTCTTTTCTTTTTTTTTTTGCATTGAAATCTCAAGGTAGAAATATCTTAATTTTATTCCCCCCACCACAACTTCACTCAAAATGTGTAGGCTTGCTGAGGGAAGAGAGCACAGGGAGAAGTGAGTTCATACCTTTCCAAAAAGCCATCAGATAGAAATCAACAAATGGAAAAATTCAAACTATTGATTTATCACATAGTCAGAAAAAAAAAAAAAAAAAAATGTTCCTTACCTTTTTAGCAACTTGAAGTAATTGTTTATCACTTGAGCATGCAAAAAGTTCTAAGAGCAGAGAACAGATGTCAGGAACATCATCAGATGGTAAACCTTAAAAAATAAAAGAAATTACAATCCTTAGATTACAATTTAAAAGTGATAACTTTCCAAAATCATAAACCTATCCTGTTATAATTGTGCTTGTCCCATTCTTCGTTAGTTCACACGACCATTACGCCCTGCCAATACCTCAGAATTAACAGACTATTCTGTTTTGATCACGTGGAAAGAGGGAAAAAGACAACTACCTCAGTACTTAGCTGTTACACGTATATCCAAGACTATAAACCTTCCTGGAGCTGAGCCACAAACTTAAACATGCTCTGTTTACTAGCAGTGGTGGAAGCTTTTCTGCTCTTGCCATACAAACAAAATCAGACGAGTGATTAATTTAAACAATATGTGGTGACAGTAGATGAGGGACGTAGGATGAATGTGATGTATGAGAATCACTTTTTTTTTTTCCTTAGAAATTTCTATCCAATGTTAGGGTGTGTCTTCCAAGCTGCAGCATCTTGTAAGACAGAAAATATGGCATATTGTTAAAAACAAATGGGGGAGGAAGATAACTTTTATATCTAGTAGTAAGCTGAAGACTGCTGCTAGCAACAAACTGAGCTTGTAAACAATTGAATTCTATTTTTATCACATCACCAAAACAAATCAGATGTAATTTTTAAAATTACAGGTTAAAACTCTCTAATCTCATGTAATGAGGTCCAGAAAATCCCAACACCTGACACATTTTAAATCTGCTGCTATTAGTTTTTAAATCCAACATGAGTTCTTTAATGTTGTGGTTTGAACTATAATCTATAATCTATGTGTGATTTTTTTGTTCTCATATTTCAATGACTTCAGTTATCCAAAAAGTCTTTCAATCATAATGACTTCTTAAAATTATAGACAATATCCATAATTAACTGCTTTATGAACTTACTGATTAAAAAATTCTAACCTTGCAACCATTCTACTGCAGAAAGAAATAGCAACTTATTGTGGGAAAATATCCTGCCTAGTCAGTCATGAATCAAGAGAGACATGACCGCCCAAGTGTGTATCATGCATGGCACTTCACTGACTGAATTAACCTTTATCACACTGGAGGTGAAAATGGTTGACATAGAATTCCCTCCCTTCGCTGCTCTAGGCGCATTCTGTCACATTGAGATGGTTGTTATAAATAAACACTTGTCAACTGTTATTTCCGGTATTTAAGCTGGAAATCACCTACTACTATTTTGGAACGAGGCTTTTTCTGATACCATTTTGAATTCTTCTAGACTCTACAACATTGATTAAACAAAAATTGCCACATCAACATCTAATGAAGGCTTTATTCAGATTTTCTTTAATTCGGACTCCGATGAGGAGTTTGAAGGCTTTACTCAAGTGGATATTGACTCAAACAGGTCCATGAGGTGATGGTTGAGGGCAACAGAGGAAGAGGCCTGCCCAAGATAACTTGGGAGGATGTTTTTTTAGAAGGACAGGGAAAAATTGGGCCTAGAACTAGCTGATGCTAATAACAAGCATATGTGGAGAGACAAACTGAGATCTTGTGTCAGGCATAACCCACCTTGTTTTGTGCAAGATTAATTACAGTCCTCCTGCCTCAAAAAAAAAAAAAAAATTAAAAAAAAAGCACGACTATGATGATGATGATGATGAGACAGATCAAATTTTTTTAAAAAGTTTCTTATGGATTTCTGCAAAAGCGACACCCTCAAACCAAAAATCCCTTTTAAATTGCCCATAAAAAAGTTCATTCAGTTTCCACAAATTTTACACAATTAGAAAGAATATTCAGATATCAAAGTTATTTTTGTACAACATAAAAATGTTAAGTTATGTTCGATTTATTTTTAGTGTTAAACAACTATGAAACAAAATGGACACTTACATTCAGAATGAGAACAAACAGCTGGAATTTCTTATACATGCATGGAGAATTACCTCGTAGGTCCAAGAGAGCTAGACTAGTGTAGCCTATATGTGCAAGCAAATTGCTAGCGATGCAGACTCTCCGAGCAATATAAATGACTAGAATGATGAGACGCATGTGTTAGATCAAGGCTGGCAGCATGCCCAATTATGCAAATTCTCTGGCTTGGCAAGAATGTATAAAAAGGCGAGTTCTTGTTGAGTTGGTAGCAGGACTTTTGTGTGATAACCGTAATTCACGGCATCGTGTACTAAACCAGAATTCGTTGCAAGGGTGTTTCTAGTGTCTGTGCTACTGAATTATATCTTTTCTGCTATAACATGTAATGAAGGAGGGCTTGGAGAATTTGACACTCAGAGGACATATTAAAGACAAAAATGCTTCTGGCTGCATCACATGTAAATGCCAGTTCCTGTATGAGAATTCAAGTTAAGCAATGTTGATCCTGTTCAGTACCTAGATGGGTGACCACTTAGGTACCGTAAGCTTAGATGAGTATGTGGTGTAATGCATTATGACTTGGAATTGTTAATCGGAGAGATGAGTTTCCACTCCAGTTGGGTTCATTATATTCACTTACTTGCAAATACTCTTGGGAAAAGGGTATAAATCCACTTCTTTCCCCCCTCAGCTATGGGTTAATTCAGTGGTTCCCAAACTTTTTTCCTCTGGGCTGTATTTTTGGAATTAAAATTTGCTTGTGCCTCACCAAATTTGATGTGATAAAAAGTACATGTATAAAGACACTGACTCTGGTGAAGGGAAGTACAAATGAAAAGGTGCAAGCATCCCTACAGCATAGAAGCTATAGAGACAGGGTTAAAGATAACTAACTGCAAATTGATAACTCTCTCCTCCAATTTGCAGATATTCATAATACATACATATATATAGCTAATATTAGTGGTAAATATACACATACGTATGCAATATATATATATATATATATATATATATATAGGTGCATACACATACATGTATATTTTTTGAATAAAAAATTCCAAGAGGATAGAATCCAGGTAGAACTCAATGTCCAGGACAGAGTAAGGGTCTCTAAAACTTCTCTCTGTTAAGGTTTAATCTCCCACCTTCTCTCGTCTGTTACCCCTCTCATTAGCTCTAACATTTGTCCCACACTCTCATACTTACACTCTCTCTAAATTCTATTTTTATTTCGGAGTTGTTTTTTCTGTTTTCTTTTTTAATTTGTAGGTCTGATGAATTGGATCGTATTTACGATTCCAATGGAATAAATTATGACCATGGAATATTAGTGTTTAAGCCTTTTTATATATATATATATATATATATATATATATATATATATAATGCAAAAATATCACAATGATAAAATCAGTCAATAATTATTTATAACTATTTAGACTGGGACTCATGCATGCAATTACAAGTAATCCATAATATTTTAAATTTTGAAATCATATTTATTTTTGGCATATGAATTTTTCGAAACTGTTTCTAAATCTTTGATTGTCTTTCAATCATTCCACCTCACCTGTTATCCTCTTTCATCACACGTATGAGGTCTGCTGAACCATTTGGTTAATTGATAGGACTTTTATCACTAAGTCATTAGTATCTCAAAAAAAAAAAAAAAAAAAAAAAATTACAATCTAAAAAATATTTTCTGGATAGGGTTTAAAATGAATCAATTAAAGGCAAAATGACAGTGGGGGACAGAAACCTGTGAATGGGAGGGTGAGTGATGGCAAAAAAACAAACGTTACTAAGAAGTTGTGGAGAGCCATTATCACCAATCGTAACTGGAGATTTATTTGAAAATAAGGTAGATGTTGGGCAGAAGGATATTTTTCTTTTAATGTAGGTACCTACAAAAGGTTCGCTAAAAAATGAGCATACATGATGAATAATGTCCGAAATTTAATAAAGTTTTATTGTCAAAATTTTCATGATGTTATTAAGAGGAAAGGCCAAAGGATTTTTTGATTATTAAATTATGTTTTTAATCCTTTTTAGAACCATAAGTTTTGTTTTTCTTGCACTAATCGGTAACCATAAATTAATATAGGAAACTTGTGTGTCTTTTTGCAGTGAAACACACACTGATTTGGAAATTCTTACAAAATTCAGATTGGATTTTACTGAAACTTTCAGGACTTATTCACAAATGAATAAAATTATTTTAGAAACGTTTCTCCTTTTATATAATCTTAGTAAAAATCTATCTTTTACTTCTCACTTATTTAATTTTATGAAATTTCGAGAAATTCATTATTGAAGAGCCTAAATGTTTAGTAGTTGTTGTGGCTATAAGACTAAGAGAGTATTAAATAAAAGTAAAACCAATATTCATATTTAACATATCACTTTTAACACATCACTAGTTTTAAAATGAAGAAAAAAGAATTTCATTAACGAACAAAATTTGTGATTTTTCCAAAACAAAACATTTGTCTGTCATTGAATCGAATCGTTTATTTTCGACAACAACAGATACATATTTTCTGATTACGGCCATTTCTTTTTCGAACTTAATAAATTCATGTTTACCAACCTTGAATAATATCTTTAAAGCTGATAATCTCATCCCTGAAAGAAGAAGGGAGCAGATCTGGAGAAAATAAAGCACAGTTAAGTTGACAACATTCCACCGGCTCCACGTGTTGGGAAGCCATCTTTGAAAAAGGGAGCGGTTATTAACGTGAAAAGGAAGTTGTTTTTGCGCATGCGCCAGCAGACGATTTTCAAAAGTAAATATGTCGTCGAGAATAACAAGTGCATGTGTTTTTTTTGTCTGCGTGTAAAAACAGACATATCTCCCTAAATATATTGTGTACGTGCTTGTTTTTGAAATAAATAAAAAAAAAATATTTTGCATATTTGAAAATATGCACGTACACAAAGCATTTTCGATGTATAAAAGCTAGAACACATTTTAATTCTTTTTTTTTATAATCATTTTTTTTTTACTTCAATCAAATCAAACGTTATTTTTAAAATTTATACCAGTATTTCAGTAGATACATGTTTATTTTTTAAAAGTATCTTTATTTCTTCTACTGCATACTCGAGGAACCTTATTCAACAAAATGCGCTCTCCGGCAGGATTCGAACCTATAAAAGAGAATGCAGAGTCTAATGCGTGTGTTTTGTTGATCATTCGTCTATGAAGAGCTTCACAATCAAGAAAGGTTCGATTTGACTTTACTGTTTAAAATAAACGGAACATCTACTTAAATAAAGGTATCCACTAAAAATGACGTTATAAGTAATAAAAATATAACGAATTAAAAATAAATCCAACAACTCTTTAGAAAACTACTTATCTATGATTTTATATATCTTTCTATCTGTGAGTGTGATTTTAGACATCTATCTATGATTTTACATATCTCTTTATGATTTTACATATTTGTCTATGATTTTACATATCTATCAATCTATGATTTTAGATATCTATGATTTTACATATTTGTCTATGATTTTACATATCTATCAATCTATGATTTTAGATATCTATGATTTTACATATCTATCAATCTATGATTTTACATATCTATCAATCTATGATTTTAGATTTCTATGATTTTACATATCTATCAATCTATGATTTTAGATTTCTATGATTTTACATATCTATCAATCTATGATTTTAGATTTCTATGATTTTACATATCTATCAATCTATGATTTTAGATATCTATGATTTTACATATCTATCAATCTATGATTTTAGATATCTATGATTTTACATATCTATCTATGATTTTACATATCTAGCTATCCATATTTCTATGATTTTACATATCTCTGTAGAGGACCGTGGCTGTGATGATGAGTATGTAAAACACACGTGGGTAGAATTTCCTGCTAGCCGGTCCAACTACATGAGAAAGTTGGACTTTAATTAAGTCCAAAGAAGGCAAAGAAAAACAAACACAAGACCGATAAATATAGGTAAACAAATATATGTATTAATAACAAGAAAGGTTACAAGTTACATGGACAGAGTGTGTGGTGAGCACCGTGAATATTATATGTGTGTGTTGTGTTGTGTTGTGTTGTGGTGAGTGTTCGTACGTACGTGTATTGTTCTTAGCGTGTTCCTAGCATTTGGGAAACGCTGTATCTGTGAGCGTTCACATCTGCGAAGTGGTATCAGGCCGAAAGCCTGAGGCAAAAAGAGATTTACTTCAAGATGGCGGCCCAAAGGCCTGAGGGAAAAAGAGAAAGAGGTGAAGGGTCAGCGAGTATTTATAGCCAAGGAAGAGAGACCCCTGTTGAAAGGTAAGGAGCTAAGGAGGAGCTAACTCCGACATCTCTCTCTGATTTTACATATCTATCTATCTATGATTTTACATATCTATCTATCTATGATTTTACATATCTATCTATCTATGATTTTACATATCTATCTATCTATCTAGCTATAACACTTTTTGGATTACTGTAAATTAATAATAATAATAATAATAACAAAGACTTGGAATATCAACAAAAACAGGAATCTTATTGGAAAGGGAATTCACCGAAATCCAAACTACATCTTGCCTCGCATCGGTTTCTTGTTGGAGTTTATAAAGCGAATCCAGGCAGTTGACAGTTGAAAGCTGAGAAGAGATAGAAGGGAAGTGTCGGGGGTCGATGAGACATTCCACACCTCCTGCCGAACATGAGAACCTCCAACTTCAGACTTGAGTCAAACTTACCAAATCAGTAATAAAAATTTCGCTAACACCGTAAGCCAAAACTTACCAGCTTACCCAAGTGTTGCATTCGATTAGGAAACGGGTTGGGTCTACAAACACCTGTATGTAATCACAACTACTAACGAACCATTGCACGCAGTATTCGATATAGAAATAGTAAATATTTTTTTTATATATATTTCGAGTGCTGTTTTTTCTCCAATTTTCCTGTACGACTTCGCTCGACTTGGACCAGCCCAACATGAAGATACCTGCGACGAATCAATCTTAACCTCCTTATAATCAATCAATCACAACGTGGGGTAGAGCAGGTCAGGATCGAAGAGACTATTCCATTGATCAAACCAGGATTCACCCCGGGCTGACCATGACAAATGTGTTACATATCTAAAATTGTATAGATTTATATTCAGGTTATGGTTGCTTCTGTCAAGGTCCAGTGGCGACCACTTGGGAATACCAGGTTTTGTAAGCTTGGATGTGCAGGTGGTGCAATGGATAATGGATCGGACTTGAAAAGTGAGTTGAGCCTTCTTCAGGTAGTTGAAATGTCGAACTGAACCCTTTATTTCGGTCACTGGGGTAGACTGTTATAGTTCCACGTAAATTTATTCCTTGAGGGCACATAGCCAAGTGGCCCAGACGTTGGTTCGAAACAGTAACTTGACCAAAAGAGTTGTGAGTTCAAGACCAGACCACAGTATTGGTGAACAAAACTTGGATGTCAGTTATCAGTTATCTCCTGTTAATTTCCCTCTAAAAGTTCTCCACTGCTTTAGCCGGGTATTGAACTCACACTCTTTGGGGTTTGTCACAGGATCTAACTAACGCCTTTATCCACTGTGCCATGTATCCTTGAGGAACAGTCTACCCCAGTGAGCGAAATAAAGGATTCAGTTCGACATTCCAACCACCTGAAGAAGGCTGGAGTGTACAATGGCTGAAATGTTGTAATAATTATTGCAACAAAGATGAGGACAATAGTCCGAATAATGTAAATAGTGTATATAATACCTCATCTCAGAAATATAGACAGATATAGAAGGGCCGAAACCTTGTGATGAATATGGCAACAAAGATGAGGACACTAGTCCGAATAATGTAATTAGTGTACATAATAATCTCAGAAATATAGACAGATACTGAAGAGAAACGTTGTAATAAATATGGCAAGAAAGATGTCCGAATAAAGTAAATAGTGTACATCATGCATCATCTAAGAAATATAGACAGATACTAAAAGGCCGAAACTTTGTAATAAATATGGCGACAAAGATGAGGACAATACTCCGAATAATGTAAATAGTGTACATAATACATCATCTCAGAAATATAGCCAGATACTGAAATGGCGAAACGTGGTAATAAATATGGCAACAAAGATGAGGACAATAGTCCGAATAATGTAAATAATGCACATAATACCTCATCTCAGAAATATAGACAGACAGATTTCTGTTGCTTCAAGTCTCTTCTTCATCTCTGTGGAGATTGTCCAGCCTTCACTGCCATGTTCGAATTCCAGTTGGGTTCGTTACACTCTCGTACGGAAATACTTTTGGGCGACCATAAATTGAAAGGAACCTTTTTTAAAAGCATTTCACCCCAAGCAAATCGGGAGAGACACTAGCACGCAGGAGGTTACAGATATTGAAAGTGTATAGATCAGATTGAAGAAAGGAGAAAAGAAGAACGGAGATCATGGCAACAGAAGATGGCGATTGACGTTGCATTTAAGTTTTTGAAAATTGTAAGATGAACGGAGTTTCACTGTCGGGAAGCGAGAGAAAAGCTGCTTCAGTAGAAGTGGTGGTTGCATTTAACTGTTTCAATAGTAAAAAAGGTGGGACTTAAATGCCAATCTAGTAGCACATTTAAATTCATGTAGTCAGGGCATCAGGGAAAATAGCTCGACAGAACAGTTGCCATGAAAATATTTGTAGAAAAGACAGAGGGAAGCCACATCATGTCTCTGAGAGAGTGATTGAAGTTGAGATGTCAAGCCAGAACTGATTACATTGCAGATCTTTCTGTGGATTTTGTCGAGAACCTCGAGATGAAGAGCAGGGGCACCAGACCAGATGTGGGAACAATATTCAATGCATGGACGAATGGTAGATTTGTAGAAACCTTTTGGCACGACACAGTGAACTGACTTTCCTAGCAGAAGATTCAGCTATTGATTCCATGTAGTTGCTCCACCTCAAGTCATTAGAAAACGTAAGGCCAAGAAGGCGCAATAAGACACTCTCACGGAGTCGAGCATCAACCATGTTTGGGGGGGTGGAAGTTTCTCTGTGGCGGTTAAATAAAAGCACTTTAGTTTTGGAAGTATTAAAGTTTACAAGCCATTTCCTGCCCCATTTAACCATTGCATTGGATATCTCAAAGGCGTTTGGCATGTATGTCTTCTTCAAAAAGTTATGGTATTTCTTGAAAGGTTATGGTATTTCTGGATGAATATTTGATCCGATTCAGTCTTTCTTATCAAATTGCGAAATGAAAGTTGACTGTAATGGCCACTTTTCTAGACATTTTTGCATTAATATCGTTGTCCTCAGGGTTCTATATTTTGGAGTACTTTGTTCCTAATTTTCATCAACGATCTTTCGGATGTCATCAGCTCTCAACTCAGTATCTATTTTGATGACACAACTATTTACTCATGTCTTGATAAATCTGATCGGTTTGACAAATTGGCAACTGATCTAAAATGACCCACAATCTGTTGTTCTCTTGACAAGAAATGTCTTGTTAATTTGAATGCCTCCAACACAAATCTGTTCTCTTTTAATAGTCTTAGAGAACATTTTTTGTGTTCCATGAGCTATGGATGGTGTTAAACTCCAGGAAAGTGACACATTGCAATTTCTCGAGCTAATGTTTTCCGCTGAACGATTACATTGAATCAGTTGCTCACCAGAATCTGTCTTGCACATTTATAAGTCAACCATTCCTTCATGCTT